AATTGAGCAGCCTGGTCTGCTGATGCTCCTGTACCCTGGCTAGGTGGAGTAGATCTCCCCTGGCTAGTGCCCGCAGAGTCATCAGCAGACTCCATGGTGTACAAGTTCCCCTTTCCCTTCCTCCTACTCTGGGAAGAGGGGTTGCCTCCCTTTTGGGGAGTGGACTGAACATGGAGGGTTGCCTCCATGTCCAAGGCTGCTCGGCCAAAAGACCACCAATCCTTGTGTCCTGCGATGTACAGGGCCGTCGTGGTATATTTCTCAGGAGCTGCCCTGATGAACCAAGTCAGTTGGTCCCTGTCAGACATCTCCAAAACGGGAGTAGAGGTGAGGCGCTCAAATTCTGCAAAGAGCTTGGTCAGGGAACCCCTGTCCTTTGTCTGACCAAGACTAACCAGCTCGTCTGCAGCTTTGCGGGCCTTCTCTTTGTCTGCAAACCTCGCCTCCAGGCCTCGGAAGATGGTCTCTAATCCTGCTGCAACAGCCCAATCTGATAACTGTTGCTGAGACTTGGTGGCCTCAGAGGTCGCCCACTTCAATGCTGACCCACCAAACAGGGCCACAGTGGACTGTACCTTGTTAACCTCTGGGCAGATGAATCCCTACAGATAGGACTTCATTGAAGCGAATCAATCTGACACATCCACTTCGGCGTCGTCGCCAGTGAATTTGTCAGGTTGCATCATCGTGGGGAAACACTATCTTGCTGGCCTGAGCTGCCAACACCAAGTCTCAAGTCCTCAGGGACAGCCTGTTACTTGTTAGGCGAAGCAAGCTTTCCCTTGGGAGAAGGGGGTGGTGTTGCAGGGGGAGTAGGGACCAGTTTAAGTTTGGGTTTGACTGACTGATGAGGGGTAGAGAAAGCTGAGTGGGGAGAGGGACTGAGATGTTGCCCGATTCGATCCAGGGACTCTACAATAGAAGACTGTTTGGCTTCAACTGTAGTCAAACGGTCTTCTATTGCAGCAGCCCGGTCCATGCAGGCAGTGAGGGCATCTTTGACTGAAGTGAACTCCGAACGGATCCACTCAGCCAACTTCCTGTTAGTGTCGCTGAATCTTTCATCAGATTCAGCGGCCAGGAAATGTTCTGCCAGCACTGTCCGTCTGGCTTCATTCTGCGCCCTTCGGTCTCCTTCATCCTTCTCTCTCCTCAACTTCTCAATCCTCTTGCGGCTTTCCTCTGCAGCCGCCTCCTCCTTCTCAATCTCCAGCTCAATGGCGGTTTTGGGAACCACAGGATCCTTGCCTWTGTCATTCCCAGAACCGCCAGAGGCTGCGCCGTCAGCCATACCCAGTTAATAATTTTTCCCCAAAAAAAAAAATAAAAAAAATCGGATTAGAGTTCACACACAGAACAACAATCTAATCAGAATCGGGCTGTACTGTTTACTCAGGTAGAGGGAAGGGTTAGGACAGATTGCAGATTAGTACTTCGTGTCTGTAGGCATTCAGGGAGGTTGCAGGCAGCGGTCAACAGCAAAACAGCATTTGTTCACTTTTACCACACCCCCAACCGATCAGAAAAAAAAAACAATACGTTCAGATCAGATCCCTACCAGATCTTCCCATGAACACCAGCACAATTAGCAAGGCAAGAAAACCCGAGTCCATACACAGCAAAAAAAAAAACTGCGCCGGCACGCCGTTCGTTTCGCAGAAATAAAAATAAAGCCCGTAGTTTGCAGGCTGCAACCACTTTTGGACTGACCGCTTCGACTGCACTGACACTAGATCTGACATGGCAGACTATGACAGGTCAGATCAACAGGCAGAACGGAAACCGCAAACACAGCCTGTGCGCAGGCTCAAGACCCACAGTCAACTGCAGGCAAGGTCAGAGGGGAGTCAAACCGCTGACAACCCACTGACGACACAGACTGACAAACACTGACCTCTCGACAGGCCACAGACTGACAGACCCGACCGACCAGTTCTGACAGACTGACGGACTGACGTCGGAGGGACAGGTTGCCGGAACAAACTCATTCAATCAAGGTCTTGATTGGAGATTGCTGCCGGTCAAGTCTGACCGTGTACAGGGGCCTGGCTCCACAAAATCACTTGCAGTCTTACACGGAATTCCCCGCATGCTCTCGAGACCAAACGACGGTGGTAGTGAAAGTACAGTCAAAAAGCCCCGTAGAGGAGGCTCCAAAAATAAAATAAAATAACTCAATATTTAGCATATTAGTAGGCCTGGTATAGCTAGATGAGGAACGGAAAACAGGTGTCTACCCAGGCGCCCCGCTTTTCCATCTCTCATCAGATAAAATTAGAGCCCAAAACGTTCATACTACTTCATAGTCAATAGACACAGATCCCTAAATCTCTCATTTTGGGAGGCCGACTGAATTTGGCCACCCGACAACAGGTCGAGTTTTATGGCGGGTTCATGCGTAATTGACACGTAGCAGGTTCCGGAAATCATTGGTTTGAGCCGTTGATTTTTGCTTATCGAATGATGAATCCTTAAAAACGGCGGGTTCGGGGTTGGAGTTTGTCAGAAGACATTTTATTTTCTGTTTTTGTGTGTCCCCGTTTTTTGTTTCAGGACTCGAACCGTCGCCTCACACGCCACGCGGTTTGCTCTCAGTTCCCCTTTTGTTTTACCTCGTGCTGTGCGGCGTCCTTTTTTTGTGTCCCTTTTTCTCCCTCATGGCCTTCGGTATCACAGATACGCTTTCGCGGTGGCTATTTCTTTTGGCCATTGGTGGTCTGTCACGCTATACTCCCACGAGAACCTTCCTTGATGCACCTGACTGTAATTACGACCAAGCCTGGATGCATCTGACCGCAATCATGTCCACTGCTTATTCCAAAAAATCCTAGCGTCACTAGTAGCGTGAGTATTCCCTCAGTTCCATTGCCTGTCTGTGCACAGTAATCTGGTGGGTGTCAATCTGGCGGGAAAAAGGCAGTCGGGGCAATACGCAGCATACCCACCAGCACACCAACACAACCACACTCGCACTCACGCACACACCGATCGCGAACACACACACACACACACACACACACACACACACACACACACACACACACACACACACACGCGCGCGCGCACACCTGTGAGCGCATAGCGAACATGTAACGGACACACTCTCTTACATGCTGGTAGTGTTGGTGCAAGTCAGGGGTATGGCTAACTCTGGGCGACATGGTGAGTCCTTACCCATCAGTCAAATGTATTGTGGACAGGCTGTCGGGGCTCAACCTCGTGACAAGTCGGTGAAAGTCCGATGAGAAGTCTGTCACAGTCGTGCTTTTTTGTTCGGACTGGACTGCGAATATAACAGCACACACACATGCTCACTTACACACTTGTACACACATACACAGGGAAATAGGGTTATGGTTCAGGAATAGTGCGCACACACACCCACACAACGTCCAAGATCATAGTAAACCCGAATGGGTTTTTTGTAACTGTGAATCCAAAGGCCTAGTAAAGAGTCAACTCCATACCGTACATTTTCGGTCACATCCACTCCGGGATCCAAGGGAGTTGTTC